GATTGGTCACTTCCATCGACGAAGGTTTGCATGGATTCGATGGTTAAAAAAAGCATTAAAGTGATCGCCTACCATCGAATAGCATATACACTTCTCCTATTTGCCCACCTTTGTGTCCTTGTTTGTATGCGTCGAGAATTGTAGTGATAACGATCATTATTTCAAGGTGTGGCGCCGTCCTCGATCAATATCAACCATTTTCAATTTCAGTGACAATGTCTTCTTTTGGATAGTGCATGCTATACTTTGGAGCTGATGCTACAATTAGAATTAACTTGATCAAAATCACTCTATACTTTTGTAAAATGAATCACTAGCTGAAATCATCTACAGTGCAAGTTTTGCACCGTATGTTCGAGGGTATTTTTCTTTTTTACAATGAAATAATTGGTTGGTGAATCGCGTGACAATAATTTTCGACGGCTCTCTGTTAATTAAGTACCAATATAAAACTACTCCAGTGGTAATGCTATCAACTTTCTCTTATTGCATTAGTCCTAATGTTGCTCTCTCTCTATTTCAATCGAGTCTGTCAATACAAATACTTGGTGAAGGTTTACAGTAGGTAGCACTACGCACACTTTACATTCTTTTAGTCTACATCGTGTAATCGTTTGAACACTTACGGTATGCATCGAAAAAATATGTCTACTACAGTACGTTGAATTGAGAAGATTGCCAAGGCATAGCGAATTTGGGGGAAATATACAGTAGCTAAAAATCGGCAAGAATCAATATATTGATTGAGTTGGGTGAGAGTAGGATAAATCAACCTTGATATTCCGGTCGACTTAATCAATACAAATGTCTATCGCAATGGTACCATTGATGAGAATGACTTTTGAACACATGAAGAATAACCAACCATTAACGTACTCTATAAATCTACGCTACCGTATGTCTTTGTTACGCCCGAAATCGTTGATGGAATACTTTCCATGTTATTTTTAATACTTAAAAGAGACAAGTAACGGGTTAGTTGAGTGCAAGGTGTAGTAAAATCAAATATGGATTGAGCAGTAGGTATTAATGGACGGTGCTGTTTCTAATAATGATAACCTTATTACTACCATTACTACAGTACTAGCAGCATTATTAGTTAATCATATATATCTTTTATAAATAGTGAAAGGAATTATTATTATAAATTGTGCGATTAATGTCAAGGTAGTTTTTGACGCTTTTCCATATTGGAAAAATCCAACTTATTATCGTCATAACGGGTAATGATATACTGTACAGTACTTTGTAGTTTACTGACAAATGATTTCATTGGGAGTTTTATTCCCCTTCATGCTATGCTACTCTTGTGTAAAGATGAATAGAAAAACTTCTACTAATCTTTGTTTTCAATAACCAATTGTAAAAAAAAATCGACAAAAAAGACGACGCGTACTTATACTATGGGTAGAACAATGTTGTAGCTAGCTATTCTGGAGATTAAATTGTTGGGTATTATTAACAAAGTTTTTTGAAATTTTCATATAAAATGTCAATGTTATTTCTAAATAGGAAATTAACTCATTCTAAATTGGATCAAAATGAAGTCAGCGTGCCTTGCGTTGGTTATCTTTTCCATCCTATGCCATGTTAA